ATTCTAAGATCTAAAGATGACACAAAGATTTGGAATGAAATTTGCAACAAGCAAAAAGATCGACTTTCTAATGACATCAACAACTATATATCATCCATTTGAAGCTGTTCAAAAAAATCTGTTTGATATTGTACTTTTTGAACCAAAGAATTTCGTGTTGATAATTAGAAAGTAACTTTTTTTTTTCATAAAAGAAGGGGAAAATAAAGATGAAGAAAAGAAGATAATTTAGAGGGGCCACTTCAAAAGTTAGTACCATATAATATTATCATCATTTGCTAACAAAAACAATTATATTTACATCCCCATTGTCCTCCCCAAAATAGCCTTCTCTTTCTTCTTCTTTTCTTCTTCTTCTTCTTCCTCCTCTCTCTCTAGATCTCTCTCTCTCTCTCCATGATAGAAGTATAGCTGAAGGAGGAGAGAGATGAAGAACACCATTAAATGTTGTATTTCATGCATTCTTCCTTGTGGAGCACTTGATGTGATTAGGATCGTTCACTCCAATGGCCATGTGGAGGAAATAAGTGGCACCATTCGAGCAGCTGAGATCATGAAACTACACCCGAAGCATGTACTCAAGAAACCCTCTTCTCCTTCCTACACCGATGAAGGAACAGTTAACTGTCCTCAGATCATCATTTTACCACCAGATGCCGAGCTCAAGCGTGGAAAGATTTACTTTCTGATGCCGGTTCCTCCTTCTTCCTTGCCTGAAAAGACTCGTTCCAAGTCAACATCAACCACAAGAAAGAAAAAGAATGTTGTTAGCAGTAAGAATATTAATGCGAACAGCAATCAAGACAATAATTTATTAACAGACCTTCTTGTCTCTGATCGCTACTTGACTGAGATTCTATCGGAAAAGGTGAAGGATAGGAGGAGAGGCCGTGTTGGCGTGTGGAGACCTCATTTAGAGAGCATTTCTGAAGCTACAAGTGATGCGTGAATTAATGTGGTTTTTCTTTTTTTTTCTTTTTCTTTTTCCTTTCAAATCTTCTTTAAAAAAAAGTCGAATTCATTTTACATATTCGTATTCGTATGCCACTTAAATCCTGTTATTCTTGTTCTTTTCTTTTTTCTAGAAACCTTTGTATATACAAGAAGGGAAAAACAAGAAATAACATGTAATCTGATGCTCTCTTATGTTTTATTTATGGTTTAAATTTGTGAATATTTCTAAACCTTTTGAACCTCCCCAATCAAAATAATAACAGTTTTCCAGGTACATATTACTTTTTAAT